CAATTTCAGATGGGTTCGAGAACCAATTCAGATCAAATCTAGTTCGGTTCAAACTCACCAGGAGCAACATGTTTTCAGTTAACACTTTCAAGCCAGATTTCAATTCCACGACGGAAGATATCCGGCTGTCAGAATTTATCAGTAGGTTTTCCCAGACCAGCTTAGGGGAACCACCGGAAGAATCATGACCGTTTTCGACCCGTAAAGGGAAGCCATTTTTAAACAAACTATTTGTAGCTTAGCTCAAGGCCAGAAGGGCTACCTGCCACCAAGACCTTCGAGTTCGACTACGCTCAGCTCCAAGGCACATCATTTGCAGAATAGCTTAAGTCGAGAAGGGCTATCTGCCAAAGACCCTTAAGTTCGATTACACTCAGCTTCAAGGGCATAACATTTACAGCATAACTCAAGGCTAGAAGGGTTATCTGTTAGCAAAGACCTTTGAGTTCGACTACGCTCAGCTCCAAGGCACATCATTTGCAGAATAGCTTAAGTCAAGAAGGGCTATCTGCCAAAGACCCCCAAGTTCGATTACACTCAGCTTCGAGGGCACATCATTTGCAGCATAACTTAAGTCGAGAAGGGTTATCTGCCAACCAAAGACCTTCGAGTTCGACTACGCTCAGCTCCAAGGCATATCATTTGCAACACAACTTAAGTCTACAAGGGTTGTCTGCCAACAAAAGACCCCCGAGTTCGATTACACTCAGCTTCGAGGGCACATCATTTGCAGCATAACTTAAGTCGAGAAGGGTTATCTGCCAACCAAAGACCTTTGAGTTTGACTACGATCAGCTCAACGGCACATCATTTGCAGCACAACTTAAGTCTACAAGGGTTGTCTGCCAACAAAAGACCCCCGAGTTCGATTACACTCAGCTTCGAGGGCACATCATTTGCAGCATAACTTAAGTCGAGAAGGGTTATCTGCCAACCAAAGACCTTTGAGTTTGACTACGATCAGCTCAACGGCACATCATTTGCAGCATAGCTTAAGTCGAGAAAGGCTATCTGCCAAAGACCCCCGAGTTCGATTACACTCAGCTTCGAGGGCACATCATTTGCAGCATAACTTAAGTCGAGAAGGGTTATCTGCCAACCAAAGACCTTCGAGTTCGATTACACTCAGCTTCGAGGGCACATCATTTGCAGCACAACTTAAGTCTAGAAGGGTTGTCTGCCAACAAAAGACCTTTGAGTTCGATTACACTCAGCTCCAAGGCACATCATTTACAGCATAGCTTAAGTCGAGAAGGGCTATCTGCCAAAGACCCCCGAGTTCGATTACACTCAACTTCGAGGTCATATCATTTACAACATAGCTCAAGGCAAGAAGGGCTATTTGTCAATAAAATTGTCGAGTTCGACTCTATTCAGCTCAACGATACCTCAATCACACTACTGTCCGGCTGCAATCAAAGTTTTCAAAGTCAAGAAGAACACCTGGGTTAACCGTGCCTTAGTGACAAAAAAAATCGCTTTCCGACAGCATAGCTTAAGTCGAGAAAAGCCATCTGTCGACAAAGACCTTTCGAGTTCGATTTCGTTCAGCTCGAGGGACTATCTACCACATGATTTGGTCAATGAATTGCTTCCCATTCGAATTTTTAGCCAAGATCTTTAAACCGAGAAGATAACCAAGGTTGACTATGTTTGGGCAACGAGAAGTCGCATCTCGATTTAAATTTCGAACTACGGTTTCAATTCCATATCATTTCGAGATGGACTTGACTTCGCGACGAAGGAGCCATCCACAGCTCAAATTCGACAGGGAGTTATTCCTAATTCAAATCAATTCTCAACTCTATCGAATGAAAATTTGTGTCCTTTTTGTCTTTGCCCTATTTTTCGTTCCACGAAAAAGGACAAAGAGGGGCAGCTGTAGACACCAATTTTCGTCCATTTTTTTATATATATATTATATAGTTTGAAATCATTTTGAAAATTATATAATATATGGTTTTTATAAAATATTTTGAAAATATATAATATATAGTTTTTGAATTTTTTCTAAATATATATAATATATAGCTTTTAAAAACATTTTTGAAAAACATATATATTATATAATTTTGAAAATTAGTTTCTAAATATATATTATATAGTTTTGAAAATTAGTTTTTAAAATATATATATTATATAGTTTTGAAAATTAGTTTTGAAAATTATTTTTTTAAAATATATGTTATATAGTTTTGAAAATTAGTTTTTAAAATATATATATTATATAGTTTGAAATCATTTTGAAAATTATATAATATATGGTTTTTATAAAATATTTTGAAAATATATATGATATATAATTTTTAAAACATTTTCGAAAACATGTATATATTATATAGTTTTTGAAAAATATATATAATATATAAGTTTTTAAAACAATTTTTGAAAATATATATTATATAATTTTGAAAATTATTTTTTAACATATATATTATATAATTTTAAATTATTTTTTATTATATTAATTATTATTATTATTTATTATTATTTATTTTATTTTATTTATTACTTATTTTTTTTTCTTTTCTCATTTTGTCCCAGGTCCAGTCCAATAGTCCAGATAACGGGCCTGAACCAGCCCAAACAGATTAGGGTTTCTTGCTTAAGGGAACCACACAGTCAGCGCCGCAAAGAGGGAATCAAAGGGTCTGGTGCAAAACGGCCGGTGGAAATCCCGGGACTGACCCATCCCGGGATAGCCGGTATCACAAACGACATGCACGGGGAAACCGGAACGACCCCCTCATTTCGGGGCCAACAACCACCCCACCGGGGCTATAAAAGCCCCCGGTGAGACATGAACAGGGGAGGCCAACTACGAACAAGCCAAACACAAACCATCAAACCAGTCCATCAAAGCAAGATAACAGTACCCACGGTGAACACATAAATCACCAACACCACAGTACCAACGACTAGAACAGGAAACCACACAGGAACGGTATATCACACAAACCATCATAGAGACAACCATCAACAGTGATACCAAACAGACAGCCAACAACAAATATCGAGAGCCACAAAAATACCACAGTACCAACAGAGTAACAAAACAGAAACATAGAACCCGCAACTACATCAAACATCAACAAAAAGAGATTCGAAGCAACAGAAAGACCAAAGCAAGAACATTCCAAACAGCAAGGAACAAAACCCAAAAAATTCGGTTTTGGGACTATTCGGAAGGAAGCACGGTCGTGGGGCACCCAAAGGTCGCCGAAAATCGTAAAGCCTCGTCGGAAAGAAGGTAAAACTCGAGGGTTTTTTTTTAGATCTACTCCGATCGGTGAAGTTATTGGGGGTATAGGCTTCGGGTTAGTGTTCGCGGCGTGGAGAGGATCATTTTGGTAGGCTCGGATTTATTTTGCCACCGCTAGCGGTGGCCGGCGCAGCGGAGGTGGCAGTCGGAAATCGCCTGGTAGAGAGAGGCGAGAGAGTTGGTTCTCTCATTTCCAGAGAGAGAATGCAAGAGGAGAAAATGAGGGGGGACGTGAGGGATTAAGCCCTGTTTTGGGCTTAAATACTAATATCAAAACGGCGTCGTTTTACCGAGGGTCTCCTGCGTATTTTCTCAGCCGGTTAAACTATTCCACTGGTGCTTGTGATTTGTAAACTTTACGGTTTGATCACTGGGATAAAATTTTGGTACTTTCGATTTGGAGTTCTAATTTCATTATGCCTACATTTTAGTCATTAGCATATATTTTTTTTCCTTTTCTAATTTCATTATTTTATTATTTTTATTATTATTATTTTTTTTCACTAACCTTTACTTGTTTATTCTATATTATTATTGTTACATTAATATTTTTTTTTCTTTTCCTTTAATATTTTTCCCTTCATATTATTATTATTTTTATATATATTATATTTATTTATTTATTTTCACTTTTGTTTTTTATTATCTTCATGCATTTTCCATTTTAATTCGATCTTGCATTTCACGACAAGTCTAACAGTTCTATCTTTTTAAGGGTCAATTTCAAACTAATCAAAGGTAAGTAGTTTGAGTCGAATTTTTAAATTTTAATTTAATTTCTTAATTTTCGCAACTAAGACAACCGACAAATTAATTGGTACCGAAAGGGCAGTTCAAGGGTGCTAATCCTTCCTTGACCGCAACCGACTCCCGAACCCGACACGTTTCTGGTACCACGCAGATCAAGTAAGATGGTGTCCGACCCACCTAAATTTGTTTTAAAGTGGTCGGTGGCGACTCCTAACCCAATTAATCTAAGTCGAAGCCCAATTCCGAGGCCCAACCCGAAAGACGGTTCCGACAAGTGGGATGGAGTCTAAATCCATATACCATATCTTCTTTGATTGTGTTTTCTCTAGGGACATTTAGTGTGTTGTTATGAGATTGTGTGGACTGCAGAGAAATGTGTTTGATTGGTAGGTTGAGACTTTTTGGGTCATTCAGGTTCTGGAGGACAAGTCTTTGATCACTGTTACTTTGAAGTTGGCTTGAAATTCCTATACCTGTTTCATTTGAAGGGCGAGAAGCATATTCAGGGGAAGGATCTGCTGAAATGTAATAAGGATGCAGTCAAATGTAGATTGTTAGGCGAACCTGTAAACGGGGATAACTTTATTAATTTTAATCTTTGTATAGATTGAGGTGATATGGACTTGCACTGTAAAAGAGTTGTTTTGCTCTTTGTTTTTGTTGTTGAGATGTATTTTTAATAGCAGTTTACTGTTCTTCGGATTCATATTTATCCCAAAAATTACTAAAATATTCGTGTTTAATACATATAAGACTGATCGTAATGAGACTATTGAAAACTCTAATCTTTCAAAATTTAAAAAAATTAATTTTGTTCATGTAATTATATATTCATATCTGACACGAATCTAGAAAACTCAGTCAAATATTTCCATTAATGGAACCACTCCGAAAGGCCATAAGCCATTCTTTCCTTTGCCACCTTGCTGTAACCATTCTTTTTAGCTCCACTCTTTATTGAAAGAATATTTTGAAAAGCCTTAGGAATTTTTATTATACAAAGGGGTGCGGTTATGACATTAAGACATGCGAGACCACAGGACAAGAATTACAACATTAACATTTAACAATGAAACAATACTTGTGCCTTGTTCTGGTGGTGTCCGCCATGCTTGTTCCTTCACCATCTGTTGCTTCTTCTAGAACCCTTCAATCGACAAAGAAGACCCGAGATGCGACCGAGGAAGCCATTCCTGAGGTTAAAAATGTTAGCATAGGTTCAACTTCAAATCCTGCCGAAGATAACAGCGATCGGGTTTCATCGAAGCTGCAAGCGGCAACTACGGATTCCAGACCGAGCAAAAAAGGCCCTGGTCACTAGTACGAATCTTTCCTTCGGATTTATGTTCGTTTTCGATCTTCTGGTTTGTAATTTCTCAGGACTGCAGTGTTGGTCTCTAGCGTTGGTACATATATTATATATGTAAGTTGTCTATGTAGCTGAATGTATACATATGTAGCTGCAGATGTAATAAAAATATAAACTTCCATTTATCTGGCATCTTCAATTCTCAATTGGGAGAAAACTTCACTTCCTGTTGGGACAGAATCTGAGTCATTCTCACTTACTATTGACATAGACATGTCATCTCTCCCGAATTCGGCAGTTGCAGAAGGTAAACGTTCAAGGACATGCGACGATAACATAATGGAAGCATTCGACGTGCTGTCCATGTGTGGCTCTTGTACAACTGCGGTTTGCTGAAGCTTTAAAGCATACTCCAAGTCCCATGCCACATCACTCATCGTAGGCCTATCAGATGCGTCATCTTGCAAACATTTCTCTGCTATCTCTACAAATTTTCTTAATGAGTTGGGGTTGATCTGAGATCTTATGGATGGATCCACAATTTGATCTAGAAACCCTTTATTCTTGCAATGCATTCCCCATTCTGCTAGGTTCACTCTCTTGGAAGTTTAGGATCGATAGCTGGCCTTGCACAAAGCACCTCAAGAAGAACCACACCGAACGAATATACATCAGATTTTTCGGTCAGCTGCTGTGTTTTGAAGTACTCGGGATCAAGGTAGCCAAAAGTTCCTTTAATGCCTGTGCTGACATGTGTTTGATCCAGAGGGCCTGACCTAGAAAGGCCAAAGTCGGCTACTTTGGCTACGAGGTTGTCATCGAGCAAGATGTTTGTCGACTTTACGTCCCGGTGAATGATGCCCCCAGATGCACCTTTGTGGAGGTAATGAAGTCCTCTTGCTGCACCAATGCAAATATCAAGCCTTTGCTTCCAAGACAAGCAAGGTAGTTTTGTGTTATATAGATGATCCCTCAAAGTTCCTTTTTCCATCAACTCGTAAACCAGTATCATCTCAACCCTTTCATCACAATATCCGATCAAAGACACAAGATGACGATGTCGGATTTTGGATAAAACCATGATTTCCGTATGAAATTCCAGCAAACCTTGACCTGACCCTGGCTCGCTTCGTTTCACCGCCACTTTCATGCCATTCCTGAGAGTCCCTCGATAGACATTCCCAAATCCACCCTTACCGATCTTCAACTTCTTATCGAAGTTTTTCGTCGCCAGCTGAATCTCAATAAATGGTATCCTTAAACACAGGTTCAGGTTAGGAACAGGGGAAGCATTAATATTTCCCTCTCTGCTTAGTGTTGATAGTTGAGGCATCTTCAAATTACCGTGAGAACTTCCTTTAAGTTCAGGTAATGGTGACCATTCAAGAGTTTGATCAACCGGTTTCTGCTTCCTACGTTTTGATCTAATAACCAACAGACCTCCGAAGATGCAGACAAGAACTAGACCTCCAAAGACCGAACCAACCACAACAGAGGGAGACATCTGGTTCGACTTATCAGTCATAGGAACCAAATCAGCTTTCCCCATCATTTCCATAATCTCAACGCCATTTAGAAAGGCATTTTTCTGAGGGGAACTACTATCTGGCCCTATGGAGATGTTTATGAACCCTGAATCATCAGAATCAAGCACAAAGTCCATGAAAAATGGAGTTTCCAGTTCCACCACTTCTTCATAAGGATTTATTTTCAGGCTGAAGTCGCTATTTATATACAGAAAAAAACTAATGAAATTCAGCGCTGGGCTAATAATGTCGCAGAAATGAATCCGAACCAAGTGCTTAGCATTTCTAGGCACATCATAAGACCAGACTATCTTGGAGTCATTTATCATCTCCTTAGAAGTCTTGTATACTTGATCCGGCGCAATGAAATCGTTAACCATAGCTGAATATTTAATCACACCTGCAAAAACTTGGCTATTCATTGCAGTGTTTGGATCATTCAGGTACTTATCATCAGGAAGCCATGTTCTTAACAAAGTATCATTTTCGGGGGTGATTGTAGGGCCTCCAACATTAATTCTATGAATCGTCCGCAAAGCTATAGAGAGAAGGCCTTTGTAATCGTTGTTGTTTTTGGTCCGACTAACCTGCGTAGCATTATCAAGAATGAAATCCGGAGGAGCAGGGAAGACCTCGATGGCATTGACGAAAGCGAATGAAGATCCTTGTGGTACAAAGAAGATTAACAATTTGCCTCTAGGAATTCTGAAAATGAATTCCTTTGTTAGAGTAGAGCCGACACCGAGTTCTTGGACGGAGAAATTATGCAAGAGAAGAAGACCAGAAGTGGAAACATTGAAAACCGCTGCTGATACATCTGCAGAGTTGGAGAAATGAAGGCGTACCAGGTACGTGCCATTAGTATTGATTTTGAACTTATATGAAGACATGTGCCGGAAAATTCTTGCAGTTCGATATAGAGATGGCGTGTCTGATGCCTGGCTGTTGTCTGTGACAAAGCTGCTTCCCTTGGTGAATGAAACCGAATCAGAATTCGAGTCGCCGACGAAGGTCGTCCGGGAACTGACGTTTATGTCCATATTTGATCCACAGTTGATGAAATACTGGTCTGGAAGTGTGTATGCTGAAGAAAGCAGCTGATATGAGAAGAAAATTACCAGAAAAATAAGCAAACATGAAGAGTCATGGGGTTTATCACAGCGAAACTTTCCCATTGATTTTCAGTAGTTGCTTGAATGAAAGAAATCAAATGAATGATTGAAGATAAGTCAACATAGGGAATGAACCACAACATGCTTAGAATTATTGCACTGCGAAATTCTTTAAATGCCCTCGTAACAATAAGGATATTTGTCATATATTGGAGGACAGTTCAGGCATATACTGGGTCAATGGAAATAGTGCCATGCCGATGCAAGCTTAAAAGTATCCAAATGGATTTGTTTTCTTGCAATTTGGTCCCCATTCTAATCACATCATAAAACTATATAATTTTATATTGAAACCTTCCATTATCATTTCAGGAACCATATGGCAGAAATTAATTTATTTTAAATTGATATCTGTAACTTTAATATGAAAACTCTTCGTTGCATGCAATCACGGAACTCAGCATTATTTGTTGAGAGGATATTATAGAAAATATATATATTAATTAAAATATTTTATATTTTTAATCGATATAAAATTAAAAATTAAAAATTTAATAATTTAATTCAAGTCCTCAATTTAAAGAAGATAAAAAAATTGAACATAAATATAAAAAAATCCTAAAAAGATAAATAATAAAAATTGTATTTTCATTTATTTTAAAGTAAAAATAAAAATAAAAATTTTTAATTAAGTTGTTTCCAAATTTTAAAAGTAGTGTACACATTTTTTTTCGGATAACTAAATTTAATAACTTAATATATACACCGACTTAAGAATTTAATATATATAAATATATATCAACAATAAGCTGATATAGTGAGATGAGGTATTCAATCCCTTAAGTAAGATTAGAGGTTTAAATCTTGACGTTTGTAAATAGAATAAATTGAGTTAGCAGGGTCACCCTCACATCTGTAATACTTGATCCAGATCAATCAATTAATAAATTAGATACGAGTAATTGTACCCAAAAATATTATATATATATATATATATATATATATATTATTTAAAAAAATTAGGATAAAGTGTATTCGGTTCGGTTTTACACTAAAATATGTACCAAACCAACTTCGTGGGTTTTTAAAAATGGGAACCGAAACCAAAACCTAATGGCATAAAAACCACGATTTTTGGTTAAGTTCAATTCGGGTCAGCGGTTTTTGACTGTTCACTATTTTTCAAATTCAGCCTAAAAAATCAAATTTAAAGCTTAAATTAGTACAAATATATAAATTTAAATTTATAATAAATTTAAATTTATAAAAGAATATTATTAGTTTTAATATTTTATTTGTCATGGACTGCGAACTTGTGGGCAAGGTCGGCCCACAACAACCCACCTGTGGGGCCGCAACCAGCACAAAGCATACTACTCCCGTTGAGGTACCGGGGCCAACACCCACCAGGGTGCGACAAACGCAACCCAAGCGACCCACAAGGGCCACGCCGAGACCAAGGCTCACACAAAATCGGATAGGGTCAAGCCACGACCGCCCCAAACTACCGACACGCACAACCATCGCACAGCAAGGTCGTGACCAACGCCCACCAAGGCGCGCCTAGGGCTGAGGCCCATGCACGACAAGGTCAGCCGAAGGCCATAACCAACAAGCAATGGGATACACTCGGGGTTGAGGCCAACGCACACCGAGTGTGTGCCTATAACTGGGACGAAGGCACACAAGGGAGGCACTTGGGGCGATGACAACGTATATCGACAACACACAGGGTCGAGGCCTGCGCACAACGAGGGTGCACCGAGGACCGAGGCCAGCACCGATATTGGGCCTATCCATCTAGCAAAGTCGACCATCCCTTGGAAAACAAAGCCAAGGTAGCATAGCCCTTGGTCGAATATGACTCAAACATTAGAGTTTCAACTAGGGACAAAGTCCTTGTTTGAATGGGACTCAAGCATTAGAGTTTCAACTAAAGTAAAGAGTTTTACTTGTAGTTAGACTAGGAGTAGTCATGAGATGTAAGGGGACTTCAATATAAAAGGAGGCCTCTCCACCTCCATTAGATATATGAAATTTGGTGTGAATAAAATCAGGCATTGATGCCAAAAACTTTCCCACCCATGATTGCTTACGTTTTTCCATACTTTTTTATTGATCTTACGTTATACCAATTACAACCGAGGAGTTTAGGATGCCTTAGACGTCGAGCAACCGAGCAAAACATCTAAGGGCTGCACTGACCAACTAGCCTATAGTCTAGCCCCGTGTCAAGTGGTATCAGAGCCTATTTCGTAACCAGACGAGATGGCTACTCAAACCGGCGAACCAACAGCACCTGAAGGCGTCGAGACTCACAACCCAGAGAAGAAGCGAGGAACATCAAAGGACATGCTCGCCTTACTCCAAGGTAAGATCCATAAACTCGAAGACTCCGCGAGGGAAGCCAGGGAGGTATTGGATCGATTAATATCCATCGACTTGGAAAAGCTAGGGTCCTTGGATCTCGAGAAGCTTGAAGCCTTGGAGATTATCCATAAGGACGTGCAAACGGCACTAAACGGACTAGATGCGAAGAGTTCCCAACATGATGATTCTTTAAAACCCCAGATTCTGGCCTTAACACAAGAGGTCGAAGAACTTAAAAACCAAGCTCAGGGATCGAAGTTAAAAATCTGAAGAAGGAGATCGAGCAACTCAATACCGAGGTGGCCTTGTGCAAGGTTGTCGTGGATGGTAGCATGTTAACTAGCGCCCCCAGAAGCTTGGCCGAAGTCCCTAAACCAAAAATAATTAGAGGGACTAGGTCGACCAAAGACGTTGAAAACTTCATGTGGGATATGAATCAATACTTTCGAGCCATGGGTATCGAGGATGATACTGAAAAGGTAAACATTGCTTCTGTTTACTTAATAGATTTAGCACTCTTATGGTGGCGACGTAAGTGCACCGAGAAGAAACGAGACGACACCACCATGAGAACTTGGGCAGAGTTCCAAACTGAATTTAAAGAATAATTCTACCCCCAACATGTCGAGAACAAGGCTCGATCAAAACTAAGGCACCTTAGGCAGGAAAGCTCTCTAAGAGAGCACATTCGACAGTTTGTCAAGTTAAGCTTATAAGTCCCGAGCCTAACCGAAGAGGATGGGTTCTTCACCTTCATGGACGGTTTAAAGCCATGGGCCAAAAATGAGTTGGAAAGAAGGGGTGTCAAAGAATTGTCTAAAGCCTTGACAACCGCCAAATCCCTCATTGAACTTGGTGTTAAGAAACCAAAGCCTCCCAAATCAAAAGCCGAGGGTCATAGCAAGAGAAACCAAGATGAAGGCCAAGAACAAAGCACATCAAGTGATGATGAAGATCTTCAAAACATAAATCCTACTCACGCAACAATCCAAAGAACAAAGGAGATATCCAATCGATCTGTTGCTTCAATTTCCAGGAGCAAGGACACTTTACAAGAGATTGCCCCTACAATGAAAAACTCGCAGCCATTGCCGAAAAAGAAAATGATTCAGAGGAAGAAGTATTTAGACTTAGCTCAATTACAAGTGTTAAGCTGAGGGTAAGTTCCAAGCGATGAAAAGATCACCAAGGGAGAAGACCACAAAGGGTATAAAACTATCCACCCCAAGTCCCACAACATTAAAGCCGAAAAAAAGGGTTAATGTTCGTGAAAATCAATCTTGACAGACAATTCGAACTTGCCCTAGTGGATACTGGAGCAACCAATCTATTCATATAAAAAAGGGTCACCAAAAAACTTGGACTCAAAATCAATCCATCAAATGGACCAATCAAGACCATCAACACTAAAGAAGTTTCAATCATTGGGATGGTTCGGAAGGTAGAATTGAAGATTGGAGGATGGAAGGACAACATCGACTTCATGATTATCCCCGTGGATGACTTTGATTTTGTCATTGGGTTGAACTTCCTTATCCGGATCAAAGCCTCTATCATTCCCTATGCAAACGTCATGAACATCACGGATTCCCAATGGCAAGGTAATGTCCCGCTCATACAAAGTGATCAGGAAGAGACAAAGTCCTTAACAGTTATACAACACGTCCAGAATGCTCCAAAAAGGGTAAATACCACCTTGGGAACTACTCTTAAAACCACAAAGCAAGCCAAAGCAAACCTAGTGACGAGGATGTCGCTAGAACAAGTGGGGGAGAATGTCACAGACCGCAAACTTGTAGGCAAGGTTAGCCCACAACAACCCACCTATGGGGCTGCAACCAGCACAAAGCATGTTGCTCCCGTTGAGGTGCTGGGGCCAACACCCACCAGGGTACGACATACGCAACCCAAGCGGCCCACAAGGGTCACGCCGAGACTAAGGCTCACACAGAACCGGATAGGGTCAAGCCACAACCGCCCTAAACTACCGACACTCACAACCATCGCACAACAAGGGTCGTCTAGGGTCGTGACCAGTGCACACCAAAGAGCGCTTAGGGCCGAGGCCAATGCACGATAAGGTCAGCCGAAGGCCCTAACCAGAAAGCAATGGGACACACTTAGGGTTGAGGCCAACACACACAAGGGAGACACTTGGGGGCGACGGTAGCGCACATTGACAGCACACAGTGTCGAGGCCTGCGCACAACAAGGGTGCACCGAGGATTGAGGCCAGCACCGACATTGGGCATATCCATCTAGAAAAGTCAGCCATCCCTTGGAAAACAAAGCCAAAGTAGCATAGTCCTTGGTCGAATAGGACTCAAGCATTAGGGTTTCAACTAGGGGCAAAGTCCTTGTTTGAATGGGACTCAAGCATTAGAGTTTCAACTAAAGTAAAGAGTTTTACTTGTAGTTAGACTAGGGTAGTCATGAGATGTAAGGGGACTTCAATATAAAAGGAGGTATCCCCACATCCATTGGATATATGGAATTTGGTGTGAATAAAATCAGGCATTGAGGCCAAAAACTTCCCCACCCACGCTTGCTTACGTTTTTCCATACTTTTCCATTGATCTTACGTTATAGCAACTACAACCGAGGAGTTTAGGTTGCCTTCGACGTCGAGCAACCGAGCAAAACATCTAAGGGCCGCACGGACCAGCTAGCCTACAATCTAGCCCCGTGTCATATTTATTTAAATTTGTA